CGTGTCAGTTTGTGCGATGCACACTCAGTTCCATCGAGTTCACATACAGCTTGTGGGTAAACTAGCTATGCTCGTTTTCCTTTCGAAGGATTGTGCACGTGCGAGATGTTCACATTCAGACGGGAATTTTAGTACTGGCCAATCGGAAGATGAGGAATGTACGAGCTGTACCGTTCTTCCTCGTTGTAAACCATCCTCCCCTATTGCCCCCATTTGTAACCGACTCTTTCAGTTATTTTCGTTGTTGCATCGGCACCTGAACCGTTGTTATATTTCTTTCATTGCTATTGGACCAAAAGAATTAATCCGAACAAACACGAACTGATAAGTGTAGTCAGCTCCTGTGCTTATTGTCTGACACACACTGGCCTTACTTACAATTTGTCTGGAGTTCAAGGCTCGGACGAGAAAGTGCACTCGTGATGAGGGCGAAACTCGAGTCTAATGCATCTGGAGTGTATGGTGGATTGGATGAGCCGAGGATTGTGCGTGAAGATCACTCCAGGAGAATGGTCAATCCAAATTAATTTTACTACCGGGCCAAACAAGATGTGTGTGTGTGTGGAATTTAGCATACGAGAACAACTGGAATGATGGATAGCATAAACAGTAGGAGATGCAATGCGATACTGCTCTAAGTGACAGTGTAACTGTCTGACTCCTGATTGATCAAGTTACGATAGGGCTTAAAATCCGGCTTGGCGAATCAGTGCGACAAGCCCTATGGTTGTTAGAATACCGAGCAAGGGAAGAAGAGGGGGGGGNGGGGGGGAAGGTAACTCACTTTCAAGTTTGAATTGCAATGTTCACATAAAGAACGACCTCCGGATGAATGGTCACGTCGGGTCTGCTTTAAATTGCGTTTGTTTTCACGGCGCAATTGTCTTTGTTCTAGTAATATGCTTCGTTTCAAACTCTCGTCTTGTTCGTTTTCGTTAGCATTTACAGGTTCGCCTGAATTAACAGTCTTTGGGCGTTCATACGGCTGACAGATCCAATGCGGATGAGGCAAATCTGTGTACGTATTGGTCGTACAGCCCTGCATAGGATTAGATACAATCAGTTTATTTTGAAATGGCATGACGTTAATCCAATGTTTACGATCATGATTCAGCCGAACTGCTGTAAACGGTGTTACAGAGGCTATTTGAGAGGGCCTAAAATATCAAGATTTTAGATCTGAATTCTATCAATGAAGTCCAACTTTAACAATGAACAACAGATTCACCCGGCTAAACGCCCCACATAAAGCATTAGAGCATTAAGTGATTGTCAACTGTTATTCAGGATTTAAGCTTTTATTTGCACGTACCTCTGCTTATCATAATTTTGGTCTGCCGTATCTAGCACGTCTACTTATTGACAAGGGGGAAATTTCCACAGAATTGCGCAAATGCTTGCTTCTTTGACAAACACAATCTACTGTTTTTAGTTTCATTATGTAATGATTTTGTAAAGTTGAATCCACAAATGTGTAAATGCTTAAAATCCACTTATTCGGGTGTGTAAAGCCACTACTAACTGGACTTAACTATTCCTGGAACTTGATCCAGTCGTGTTCATTACGGGATGATAAGTTTTTATGATGGTAAAATTCAGCCCCATCTTCATCTTTCGATGTGTGGAGAAAAACCTTCCAGTCATACTTTTTTCGTAGAATAAAACACTTTTTGCCCCTACTGATAGAGTAAAAAGTACAAGGTCTTCCCTATTGAAATACCGCAATAGGGTTGTTCATCTAATTGTACATCCGAGGGGAAAACACTACTACTCAGTGTGATGAACAGTAGACGAAATAAGCCACGAGGACGTGTTGTGTAGTCATGGAGACCAACAAACTAAGCCCCAGGACTTGGAGTGACGAGCCACATAAGAAATCGCTGGGTTAGGCGTGGCACTAAGCCAAACGAAAAGGAAGCTGCCTATCACCTAAGTCGGGTAGCGGGTTTCGAACCTCGGACCCTAGAGCCCGAGGCACGCCGATGAGAGAGACTTAAATCACTTGATCACCACAAAGGGTAGTGATGCTTTACATGTAACGCATTGATTTGGTGGGCTCTGTAACTGCTATGCATTCAATTGGTACATTGGAATTGAAGTGTTGTACGGTAAATCTTTTGTTCTAAGATTGTTTCAACATTGTCGTGAGTCTGAACACGTAAATAGAGACACACATACCTTACAAGCAGATTTCATGTTTTCCACGGACAGTCGAATCTCAGCGTTATTTTGTGAAAGACCAATGGTTTGACGGAATTCCGGATGTTCGTTCAGGCTGGAAAATGAGGCAGGAGTTACAGACAACAACTGGTATAATGCACACGCTTCTTGGTAGGCCACAACCGATTAGACGGGATGATGTAAGGACAAGCAAATCAGCCGACATATTGGCAGTATGGCAACCAACTATAAATTCACTCCAACAGCGGAATGTTTGTCGCTTGGTCATGATACAGCAAGGGCATTTTGTCATGAAATATTCCCACACGTGTGAAAACGAGTTCGGAAAGCTAAGAAATTCTTTCTCCGCATTTTTATTTAGAATTGAGAGTTTGATCGCTACTTCGATCAGTCCTGAGGTTATTGAAACACCTTGGTGACATTATTACAGAAGCACAATCTGTTGTATTGGATGCTCGACTACTTTACTGACCGATACCAGTTTACGTCTTGGTGGCCTCAGGTCTTCTACTAGCTATGGATTATGGGGTTTACTCCTTTTACTGTATTCACTTCAATGCAATAAAATAATGTGAACCAAGTTGTCTAGCCAGGAGCAAATGGACACCCGTTTCTTGTCTTCCTTTACATCCACAACTTATCACTCCATCGGTTTGCACATCTAAGTATGCCGACGACGTAGTGGCCGATGGTGCACCCAACGCTAACTATTCCGTCAATCCGGTCCAATCAACCATAAGTTCCATTGCTGAATGGTCTTAACCTTTTCTTGAANAACGCAAAATTCATGGAAATTTTGTTTTCCCTTGATCCTGAGACATCTATACATTCCGTATCATCTGTCCCCAATCTCCTCATTAACGACTCCACCACATGCAACACAGTAAAAAAATTGGTGTTTCACATTTCACGCCGCCAACATTGGAGGGTACCGTTGTATGTAATTTCTAAATTAATCTTCTCGTTCGACTTACTACTTCCGTATTCGTTGTCTAAGGATTTCATATTGATCAGACACTCTTTGAAGAGCATCTCCAGATACAGAACTGTCCATTATATGGCAGCCAAAACCGCCGCATGATAATGCGTGGTTAGTGTTTATACGAACTGGACTGATTGTGTGGCGCTGGTCAACTCCAGGTTTCCGGATTGTTTCACGCACATCTTTGGCGAGCATCCTCATGGACGTTCACTCTAGGTCAATTCGATGTCGACCGTAGGTAGCTTTTTATGCTACTCACAGCTTCATTACGAAAAGCAGCCGAACGGTGTTCCGATATCCATTTTTACTACCGTCTCATTGTGTTTAGCGCACTACACGCTACAAGTGCACGGAAACTTATATGGAACAAACGAAAGGGTCTCATCAGGCAATTCGTCTTTAATCGCTTGGTATTTGTAGCGATTCCCAAATGAAATAATTGACCAATAGCTTTTGATAGACAGCGCTCTAGGACTTCCAATAGCTTGTCGTTTGAATGAAATCACAAGAAACAACTCTCTTCGCGCGGTGGGAATTTTATCCCAGAGTATCATCAAACACGACTCTATGTGTGAGTGTGCCTGAAGAACCTTTTTATACAGGCTCGGATTGCGAACTACGAGTTTCTAGGAGTATAGGCAATATAGCTAAAAAAACTTGGTGAGTATCTCACAGGAACTGAACTAAAGACATCTATGTATTGCTGGACTCAATACAACTGTATTGGGACCGGCGTAGTTCTGCGTCCGGGAAAGAACAAGAGCATCCAAATTTTCAATCTATATCGTGAACCGTATTTCTAGGCGGATGCGGTTAACCGCTACCAGAATTTGGTTGAATCACAATCGTATTACTCATTTATCTGGTATCAAAACCAAAGCAACCGATTGTGCCTTTTAATAGCGGACACTGCAGTTGAACTTTCAAAATATCGGTCAAAAGTCGCCCGAGCGGTACACTCCAGACAACGCCATCTTTTTATAGGTATAATTTTTGATTGAATACAAATGATATGTAGAATCAAGCTGATTATTAATCCTTCTGTGTTTCTCATCCAATTGGCAATCTGGATACGATTTTATATTAGGTGCTGATAGATGTAGTTCAGCGTCTCCGAAAGTGGTACATTTTGAAGCAAAAATTCGACCACCATCGAAAGCTCGATCTAGTGCAAGTGTTTTCTAATTTGGTCAACACAAGTGAGGGGAATCGTCGATGCTGTCTGTATCCTACCAACGATTTGTGCATTCCCCAGCCCCAGGGTTTCTATGGCGTTACTGCCTGAAATACTCAAATTGATCGATTTTCACTAAGCCGCAGATTCTTGACGATTGTGAACCGCACGGAACTCAGGATTTCCGTCGATTAGCAGCCGTTGGTGATTGAAATACCAAGGAACAGATGGGTGTGTGTGAAGATTCATGTTCAGGTGGTGGTGGTGCAGCGGTTAGGATGAGTAACTTATGGTCCCGGGTATTCGAATCCCATCGATACCCAACTTGCCCCCGTTTCTGTGCACGTTATGTATTTTCACACGTCTGAATCCAGACTGTGCCAAACAAATCATGGTACAGCCACCTTTATAAAAAAAGAGAAACGTTTCATTATCTGTTTCTATGTATGGTAGCCCTTTGACTGGCCACTTCTACCTTTCTGAAGATTCTTAGTGTTCGTGAAAAGAATAAAATGAAGAAAAGGTGTTTTGATAAAGCGGATGAAGCGATCCAGGTATCTGGACATAATATTGTTTAGATTTCATCTTATTATCACTCATACTTTCATCCGGCTAGGGTAGTTTCAATGTGGTTAAATGCCCAAAGAAAGGTTTTATACAACTAAACAATGAGCACTCTGAAAGTCCAAATCATCAGGCATCGGATTTGAGTTTTCATCATTAACATAAAACGGTTTTAATGTAAATATGCAAACAGACAATCGATTTGATTTCGTCCGCTTGGTTTGACAGGTTTTTCAGTGATACAAATACACCGGCTCATCCATAATTGGAACCCTAGAGCAGCGTTATTTCTGAACCAATCAGCTCCCGACTGAGTCAAGTTTTCGCATATACCACACTCAATTTCAATAGTCTCAATCTGTTTTTCGCAATCTATCAACAATCTAAAAATCCACATAGATCAAATTTGATAGGATGAAAATATAACTCGTTGACGTACAGAGAAATCAAACGAATTTGGATTATCATTTTGCTAAACCGATATATTCGAGAAAAGATGCCCCTGGTGGTGCGAAATGTTATTAACCACACGGCGGGAAAATGATTAAAACAATCAAGTGATCACAAAACAAACTGGTCCGTATTTGCTGTGATTGAAGCACCGCGCTCTGCTGTATACTACCAGTCAGATTTCGAATTAATAATAATAATAATATCTTTTTACCTCCTTTTTTATTTATTGAATACATAAATGCACTGTCAAAATTCAGGAAAAAGGACGCGGCCATACAAAGGCTGCCTGGGAAGACGGACAGCGGCGGAGCGGTTCGAACCCGGGACTCACAGGTCACAAGTTGGTGACATAATCAGTTGGCCNGAAAATTTAACTCATGAGCTGCACTACCCCTTCACGATGGAAAACTTCGGTAATTATGCCAAGGTTGAAAAGAGATTCCTCTCACGACGAAAGCCATTATTGTCCAATTAACTACATCAATAATGTTTAGACTAGTGGAAAGGATCACTAAAACACAACATTTCTTCTCTCTAGTGAAATGATTAATGCTAAACAGCATGGTTTTATTGAAAATAGATCTTGCACTCATTGCCCACTCGACTTTATGGACCTCACAACCAAGGAAGCCGACAACGGCGAATCCATCATAAATGATTACATGGACATGATGAAAGCCTTCAATCGTGTCCCTCACAAGGCACTCCTGAATAAACTACGAAGTTTTGGAATATGTGACCCCCTCTTCTCATGGTTTTCTTAATACTTTGAGTCCCGCAAACAAGTCGTTTCGATTGATGGACACTTGTCTCAACTCAAATTTACCACCAGTGGGTTCTTGACCCGTATTATTTCTCATGTGCGTTAATGATATTTTTGACGTCCTACGCATACCGCCTGTGGTTCTGGTCTTTAATTCGCAGAGGGGGCGGGTGTCGATCCGCCCTGTCAATAGACTCTGTACAGTCTCATTGAAGTGCAAATGCGAGTTGTGGGCTAACGGATTCACGGTTTGGGTGCAGCAATCATGCTCTAGTAAAATGGACTATATCAATAAAGGCAGCACAGAGTTTGAGAATCATGGTCCGTAATGGATTTTACGATAACGCATGAAGATGCAACTCGTTCGAGGTTTTGACATAGGTCCTCTATCCGATTTTCTTTGACAACCACCAGCTGGGATTTCTCACACCTAAAATGGCACCCAAACTACGTATCGATCAGGACCGGTGGGCGTGAAATTTCACTCGTCACTGACTTCAACGGTTCTATTCAAAAGTCCAGTTAAGGTGACTCCTACCACACGCCCATTTCGATCATCAATATGACGATCTGTTATCCATCGGACCAATTTCATCTTCGATCATTGTAAGCTCGGTGCAGTTTGTAAACATTTGCTGTACGCGCTGCAGAATCATACCAAAGTGTAATGCTCGCGGTACGTTCGACGAGCTTACTGTCTGGTTTGAAAGAACACGTCTCGTGCTTCGAGCAAAGACAGTTGGTCAAATTTTGCGTTATCTTCTTCGTTCTGCACTGATACAGGTCCATCAAGAGGTTTTAAAAAGCCCCGTGGTGGTCGATGATTTTTACCTGCAGTCTAGCGATTCCTGATGCCCACGTCTTTGTGCGCGGACATTTTTTCCCTGTTCCAGTTCAGACGGCTTAAAACTGAGTGCCATTGTTCTATTTTGACAAGTAACGGTTCATGAACTTAACCACCAGGCGCGACCTTAGTGATCGTCGTTCACCTATGGTATGATGTGAACATTGTTTAGTATTGTGAAGCTGGACATCGTCTAGCATATGTAAGATACGATAAACTCATAATGCATGTGGTGGGCTACGGAATGCGCATTATCAACAGCTGTGCGAGTGCCCTGAATAGTATCTGACACAAGCAGCGATAAGTTTCACAGGATAAATCAGTTTAGCAAAATGAGAATCCACTTGGTTTTTCTACTCGGCAATGAGTTGTTTCATCATCACGTCGGTAAGCTAGCTTGGTAACCGACAGATTTCGGAGAAACAGAATGGGCTTGATTGCGTTTCCGGTACTCATGTCGTCTTCACTGACAAGATAGATAGATCTATGTATGGGACCGATATTGGAAGTGATCCAAAAAAAAATTCCAAACACTTTCAGTGTTAGACAGCGGTACTGTCATTTTAATCCAAGTGACCGCAAGAGTGTGTTCTCATTACTTGCCAAAATTTAAGGCCTCGTGACTGCGGGAACAAGGCTTACCACGGTATACAGTGAAAAAGAGGATGGCAAACAGATAAATACTTCAGAATATTGTTCAACGCTAGTTAGGAAAACTTACTCTAAGTGAAATTTTGTACATAGATCAACATATTTTTTTTAAAATGACTAAACGAAAGCATGCTAAGCGAGTAGCTGGCGAAATCTAGCGTTATCCCGAATAATAATCGGTCTCTGACGAAAATTTGGACCAAAATAATGGACTATTTTACTTTAATTGTCCCGTCCTCTTCTTCAACTCGGTGGTTATGGTGTTATATTTCCAGAAGGCGGTGCCCGGTCAAGGAAAGTTTTTTATTGCAGGTTACAGTTAGAATATCAATAATTTGGCACACAACAAATACCTCATTTGAAACATGTCATCGCAATTCCCGGCAGCACACAGGGTAATGAATGGAGCAGTCCGTAGTTATTCTTTGGAGCACAGCAATTCGCCTTCAGTGGTCTTATTAACTTTTGATCATTAAAGGAAACCGCCAACCGTATTATTTTGCATGCTACTCACAAATGTGAGTAGTAACTCAACAATAGTATTAGCTCTGATCGAATCGATCAGTCTGACAGAATGTGTAGTGGAGTGAGTGTCGGTGTGCATGTGAGTAACCGCCCACATCGATCCCATTTCACGAATCATAATTGACGCCCAACAGTTTGTTAGTTCGAAGTAAATTTGAAAAAGAACGATTCACAAGTACGTATTGCTAACGATAAACAGGTGTTGAGAACTCGGACGAGATGCGCAAACAGCTGATATTATCAACGATCACACTCTGGCTGCTCTTAATGCTTCCAGCGCACAACGGTTTTATGTTTTCTGGAGGCACACAGGGTGGTGGTGGTGCAGTGGTTTAGTTGTTGTCACCTGCGTGCTTTGAACCCTTCGAGGTTCGAACCCCACCATCGCCACCTAACTTTGGTGTTAGACAGCTTTTGTTGTCGTTCAGTTCAGTACCAAGCCTAAACTAGGGGTCCTTATTTGGTTTGTCACTCCAAGTCCCGGGGCTTAGGTTACCAGTTTCCAGCAGGTCTTCGTGATAGTAAAAAAAGAAGAAAAAACGTATAGCTTAAACGAACGCTTGCCTGAGTTGGAATTTTGCATATGTTCGAGATACTCTCATTCTACATATCTGGTGCCAAGTTATGAGAATGGTGCTCTCATTTCATTTTCATTGATTTATTGCCAAGGTCTGAAGTGTCTGGAACAAGGTTGCGTTAGGTTTCCCGATTGAGAAACGTTTGCTGAGCTTATGTGATGAAGACCATCTCAGTACTAAAACACTATAATTGGTGAATTGTTTTCACTTAGAAGATATTCACTTGGTTCTCTCTCTTTGAGCACGACAAGAGCAGAGCACACAGTTCAACAGATACAATATGGAGACACTATTTTCGTTTTCAGCGAGACAACTCACGCATGGTGAAGAATTTTAAACACGTGACCCCTCACAATCGATATGGTAGTTGGATATCGGTCCGCGAAGGACAAATACTCCAAGCTCATATCGTAGACCGATGACTGTAAACCGGCAAAAATTGCCGGATTGTGCAAATGACCTTCTGGAAAGAGAGAGAGAATGGGGTGATGCAACGCGATCAGGGACGAATAGCGGAAATATCGATCTGTGAAAGCAAAACCAGAAGTGNGTGTTATTCACACCGAACCAGTATCAGTGAAAAAGTAGGTGTATGTGTTTCCGGTACCGTTTCGCAGATATATGAGGCAGGACTAAAACCACAAGGATAAAGCACTTAGCAATCAACTGGCCATTTTCCCCATAGATAAATCTCTCTGTTGTATTTATCTTTTCTAACTGCCGGCGATGGAGACAGTACGATACGTTAAATTCTTTTAATATTCGTTAAAGAACCACAACCGAACACTGTCATATTTCCTAGTACAGTTTAAATTTTGGCGCATTGCATCTTAAATCCTATTTCCGCGCAAATTGTCTCATAATGCATGTAGTTGCGATCTCGCGGGATTAGTTCATTTTAGGACCTGTTTCAGATTATCTGTTTCCGGCTTTAAGGCTTCCAGTCAGATGGATTGCAAATGATTAGCTAGTCAGTACTGGTCAAGACTGAGACAAACCCTACCTTAATGATCGGAATTACACTCAAATCTGGAGTGTTATGAAAAAAACTGAAGAGCAAAAGTCAGACTTCGTGGGCATTAATCCATAGCAAACTGAACTTCATTGCTTATTTTCCACATTAACTCAAATGGAAGTGTGTCCGAATCATATTCCCGATCAGTTGACTGTCGTGAACTTTTGCAGGTTAATTCTGATCAGACGCGGGCACAACTAATGTGTTACAAAATATCAAAAGCTTCCAGTTCCCACGGACTACGTCGTATCGTACACGGGGAATGTGCGTGTTATCTTGCTGAAACACTTTCCGGTGTTTTCAACCGTGGTTTTGGGGAACAAAAATTGTGTACTGTTGGAAACCCGTGCGCACCACATCAATCCCTGAATAAGAAGCTGTGAAATTTCGACCAATCACCTGCATTTTCATATTACTAAAGATTTTTGAAAATTTTGTGCTTATTAACATTAGTCCTAACAGTGAGCAATTAGATCAGAGACAATTTGCCAATCGCAAACAACTTTCTGCCTTAGACATCCTTGATAAGTTCAGCCTTGCAATCTTTAGACAAGCACCGCAAAGCCTTTCGTGTCTCTTTATGATTACAGTAATGTATTTAATTCTGTCGACAGGGACAGGCTTTTGTCTATACTTCAGGGTACTGTTTTTATACCAAAATTATTTCACTGATAGAAACCATTTCATGAAGTTTCTATGGAAAATTTCTGATTCATTACCGATCAATTCAGGGGTGCTTCAAGGAGAAATACTATCCCCTTCTATTTTCTGTTTATATATTTGAGACTTACCCACAGACCCCGACGATCTTATTAAGTACGCTGACCTGTGACCTGTCACTGAAAGTTCCGCGGGGCTTGGGATGTCCGACTCTCACGAGTAAGCAGAGGGTCCTCATAATTACGGGGAATCTGCTTTCAGCAGTTCAGAATACAACAGATGTTACGAGAAACGCAAACATTAACGTGCCACTCAACACCGAAAAGCCTTCAAGGCATTGTGCGACGGTTATACAACTCGTTGAGGACCGTAACATTGTGAAGTCATAAATGCACAGAGTTCGACAGGATTCGAACCCGGGAAGTAGGGTTAATCAAAGGGATATGTCAATCACTTGAAATGTCGTGGCTGTTTCTCAGTAGTCTGTTTCACCTTAATAATACATATCATAAAGCTCATTTTTCTCGATTGGTTTGGTGAACTGGTAACTACCTACCATCATCGATATAAATACAGCATTGCCGTTTCCGTTGATGGTCTGCTAATATACGTGATTTACTTTGAATCTTTATTTTTATTACACACTTTCGTGTGATGAATAGCAGACGGGGTAAAGCCCATAGTCACGAGGACCTGTCATTCAGTGATGGAAACCGGTAACCTAAGCCCCGGGACTTGAAATGGTGAACCGTATGAGGCCCCGATAGGTTAGGCGTCGTTTTCGTTTGTTGCTTAATTCTGTGCGCATCACTTTCACCTAGTATAATCGATTATGTTCAACAATTTAAAGTGTCTAGGTAGAAAGAAAACAACCAAAGGTCGGCTGTTCGTTTCATGGTTGATTACTTACCGGCGCTCATGACAGCATCCACCCCGGTTTCAGATAGACAACGTTGAACGTCAGTCAAGTATTGGATATTTCCATTGGCAATGACCGGGATGGAAACAGCTTCCCTGGGATGAAATAGACAGACCACATGGACTTATCCCGATCAATTTAACCGGGAGAGGGGGAGTTCAGAGACAATTGAGAATAATGACAAAACAACTCACCAGGATGGAAAAATCAATGATCAAGAGTTCTGACGGATGGGTTTCGATAACATTATTACATTGCAATAAAGACACCATTAAAAGGAATGGTGCAAACAGAAAATTATAAAATAACTTTTACTCCTTAATTCCCATCACGACGAATCTACACCTTGACATGGTGTGATGGCATGCATGCCTCCATGACCCTGCATGCTATATAGGATGTTTTTTACAGTTACAGATCCAATCATACCTGAATGGTCAATAGGTAGAAGCCAGACAAAGACCAGTCTCATAAAGCCAGATGCTTGGGCACCTCCTAGCTTCCTTTACCTATCCACACTCGCCCCTGGAGAGGTCATTCCAGCAAATAAACACAGTGAGGATCAGTTTGCCGGTCGAAAATAACCCCGTTAGATGGATTTAAGAATGGGGTACCTGAGGGTTCCTCTTGACAGTGGGAGAAGTCTTCACATTTGACTGGAGAGCTACCGCCAGCCCGAACTGGGCAGCCCCAAGCCAATGAGGTGCTGTCCTGTCCACGTTCGGCTTGGCTCATCAGGTGCATGAGACTAAGAGCCGACAATCAATCACCAGTGAACAAAACAATGAACCGAAACCCGAAGGTCTTGCATTACAGGTCTCTAGAAGTTCCCACACGCGTGCTTCAGTCATGCTCCCGCGTTGGATCTACGCCCGTTTCTTGTGGGTCAAACTTTTGAGTCGAAGGCTCCGGTCGGAGTTCCCGGAAAGAAAAACCATAAATTCCCGCTTTCTTGTGAGTCAGGTGCGGAATTATCACAGATGAAGCATCGGCACGCATACAGAACGTTCGGTTGGCATTTGCCTAATTGGGACATTTGTGGCGCGGTCGCGATATCTGACTGTCTGTGAAGGGCCGAGTATATGCTACAGCAGTTTGGCCAGTTCTACTTTACGGTATAGAAACTTGGTCATTAAGAAAACAGGATAAAAATAGATAGCCAGTGCTCGAGCACTGCTGTCTACGCAGCATTGCGCGAGTCTGTTGGGGAGACTGGACAAGGAATGTTGAGGTTAGGCGCAGAGTTTTAGGTAATAACGGTCGTCTACTGGAGCAAGTGGTCGACCTCCACAGACTACGCTGGACGGGACATGCGCTACACATGCCATCAAATAGGTTTCCACGGTGTGGGATGTTTCCCGAGGCAGGCATTGGTTGTAAAAGGTTAAGGGCGGTCAAAAAAGACCTGGAATGAGGGTAGGAAAATTCTAACGAGGACAGTGGGTCACGTAGGTGCCGTTAGGCTCGTTGAATGGTTACCGCGAGATCATGGTAACCGGTGGTTAGAGATACTGAGCGATGTGACTGGGTGTAGCAAACAGTGGCGCTCGTGCATCTACCCATTGTGCAACCTCAGTCTATATGAATTCTCTATCTTCTCTTTGACTCTGCTTCCAACATTTCCATCTTCATTCTTCTCTTGTATCCAAATGAACAGTCGAAATATAGCAACCAAAACCGACTTATGAAAATGCCCGATTAATGGTTGTAAAAACTGAAGCTGAAACACATGCTGTGGTTCTCGATTCCAAGTGTTATTAAACAACTAGCCGGACACACAAGAGGACGCATCAAATGATAACAAAATCGTAAGTCAGGTTGTGTTAGTCTTTAATCAGACCAATGGTTCGTTCTTAGGCTCTAAAACAGAGCTGATATAACGTTTTCGCGTGTAAATGAGGACCGTATCCGATGTTCTAGTAGAGGGCGAAGAACACTACCATCTTGATCCAGGAAAATTCGTAACTGATAACCGCCACCAGCATTGATGTTGGAACCTCTCCACATAAATATGAGAACCGGGCTCTGTTTTCTCCCGCTTTGGATAGTATACATTTCTTTTTACGTAATCCCAAAGGAGCATCCAGAATTATAGAGAAGGGTTCTGTTTTCACACAAAGCTAGTGACATCTTGATAGTCTGTTTGTCTGATTTGAAGCGTGTAAAAATGCTGTTGAAATATTGGGTATATCCCACCTTAGCAAGCTAAACAGCATCTGTCCAATGCATTACGGATGAAGTGCCGGTACCACACGAAAGATTCAATTGACGTTTGCAAACGTCTCTGGTGACGCTGTCGCATTTGTTTGTCGGAGAAGGGTCGAGTATGTGCTGCATTAGTCCAGCCTATGATGCTGTTTGGTTCAGATACTTGAGCTTTGTGGGAATAGAACAGAGTATTAGTATTCAAATTCCGCTATCCAGGCCGCATTGCTCGAGTCTGGTGGGGCAACCAGACAAGCTATGCCAAGGTTAGACGCAATTTTAGTAAATTTCGGTCACCCACTGGAGTAAATGCTCGACCGTCATAGATTCATTTGGCTGGGTACGTACTCCGCGTGTTATCCGATAGGCTCGAAGTACGTGCAGTGTTTACCACGGTAGGTAATGGGTGGAGGAAGATGAAGGACGGCCAACCTAAGACCCAGCATAAGTGTATGAAAACCCTCATGAGGGGACGGTATAAGTCACACTAGGCTGCCTGTTTGGATAAGCGCGATTGACGGTTAGATACATGAAGCGATACGGCTGTATTGTAAACAATGGAACTCGAGCATCTGCTCATTTTTTTTCGCAATTGCAGTCTACATGAATTCCTTATCCTCACATGGACGCTGCTTCAAGCTTTTCACCTATCTCCTTTATTTCTTAATCCAAACGCGAAGCCAACACAGATGGAAAACAGAACCACTCCGAGAAAGATTAATTAAAGCCGAACTGAGACAAGCCTTAATTTTCAGGGCATATTTTGTAAGAAATGATCGGTTATTGACTGGAATCCCGATCAAGGATCACTTGGATGGCATTTACCAGTGTCCACAATTAACGCATGCAGCGTTCAACTTGAGGCAAATCAGCCGAAGTTTGTAGTGTAACGCTGAAGTTGTGTAAGATGATAAATACAGTGTTTTTTACTCAATCCCGACTACTTCCGGTTTCGATACTGAAATCGGGTGAAAAACAACCTTAGATAATCCCATGAGCACAATGCGGTTACCAGTTCATCCGGAAAAAATATCTCACTCAGCTATCCGTCAGTCCAAGGGGCAGGATGGACGACTGCCAAAGACATCGAGGCATCCATATTCAAGCATGAAATTAAATATCATATTATGTAATTTTCAGTAACAATAGGAACTTCCGTTATTGATTGATTTGTACTATTTTGTATCGTGGTCTGGGGTAGAGGAGGGTAGTTTAGTACTCTGCGACTGGATAAACACTAGCCGGACTCACTTCACGCGACGAATTTGTTTCCAATCGGCCAGCCCCGTTAATTGTCCCTTCATTTCCCGTGTGCGTCCGTGTACCGTGAGTAACGACGCACCGGCAGCTTCAAGCATTTTTGCATATTGTACAGTTCGTTCCACGTCCGGGAAGACGCGTATTTTACACGTAACTGGTAACGTCAGATGAGTTGACGCATATTTAACTGATAGGTACAGTTGGGGAAAAAACGAACAGTGAGTAAAACCACTATGAAGTGAAACGATGTAAACAACAGAAAAATAAACCACACGTTCAGTCCAGTTTTTCAGTTTGTACAACCATTAACCATGCACTTTCGTGAATCGGTTATGGTTGCTATCTTTCGGCTGTCCATTTGGATGGATAAAGGGGTAGAGGAAAAATTCGAAAATTGAAACTTTAAGTACCGTTGAAAACGTTCTCATTTGAAATAACGTACAGTGAAAATATGCAGGTCAGTTGATCAGAATGCATGTGACCAGGAGACGGATCCGAGAACAACAAACGCACTAGCAATATGCAAGCCGTATTGTCCATGAATTCGCTTAGAATTACTAAGACCATCATTTAAAATTAAATCCATTTATTTACTCCACTCATTTTAGGAGGAAGTTGTAGGTGACGGAAAATAGGGAGTGAATGAATGCTTTTCATTCGGATATTCCGATTGTTCGGGGAAGGCGTGAACTTATATCGAAGAACTAATTGGGGCTCTCAATAGCAGGGTTTAATGTAGTTCGCCACTCCAAGTTCCGGTGCTTATGTTGCCGGTTTCCATCATCGAATAGCATGTCTTCGCGATTATTGAGTGCACTCAGTCTGTTGTTCATCAATCAAATGTGTGTAAAAAAGGAGAACCAAACTCAGCACTCGATTTCGAAGTATCACCACATTCATCACAGTGACAATAGACCGCTTGGCTGTTACCCCATTAAAACCTTGGCATATGCTCCTGGAATTTCATTTGGTTCGCGAATTCAAGATCCGGTCAGTAGGCTTCGGTAGCCGACGGTTTAATTATTTTTACTGTTCCTTACATATTACCATCTTCGTGAAGTGAAATACTGTGCAATGAAATCCACTGATCGTTGCCAAACTTGCAATGCATACAACGTAAGGGAGAATGTACAAGGTGGACAGGGATTCTGTCTATTTTGATGATTAAGGGAAGAAAGCTGATCTATTGTTCAATACAGAGTACAAAGCCCGTTTGTGCCCACGCTTTTTCAAGCAAACTGGAATGGTAAGAAGTGAAAACAAGAACAGTATTTCTGTCGGTTTGCTGCCGTACTTTTAGGATCTTCGACGAACTGCTTACGGAATCTTTTGGACCCCATCCCACAAGATGAGAGACACCTACTCTACTTAGTCGCTTTGCGCATCTCTTCTTGTCTCGTTTCCACGTCGTCTGTTGACCTCGGCATAGTTTCCTATTGCTCGGACAGGTAAAGGCGACTAAGGCGCGCCGCGGCAGACGGCAGCTAAGCATGCAAACTACGTGTCCTAACTAGAGAAACCAACTGAGCTGAATTTTGTCAGTCAGTAAATTTCCAAGCACGAGGGCTTACCCACCCACTCGATTCAACCTGCACCGAACTACATAAATATGGATGGCTTGCACTCTAAGATTCAAGATCCATCAACTGTAAAGCAGAACTGACCGAACAGTGGCACGATAAATCCGACTTTTCAAATTCAGTGAAGCGTCTCGTCTACACCACAGATACTCCTGTTTGACGTCCGGTGCTCGACTATCGGAAACGAGGCGGTTATCTCCTTTACCGCACGGCCGTCATTAGTCATGCGTCCGTCTAGGCAGCAGACACAATCGGCTTTAACGAATTTTTTACCATCCAGCTCTAAAACGGGGCCAGTCGACACTCAATCTTGTAGCATCATTGTACACTTTTAAAGTGTCAACAGAACGGAACTTGTCAGTTTGTCGAGTGTACTTTGCGCGTCCTCCATTTGTTCGAACAGATAAATGATTTCTTCAGTGTAACCTAAGTCGTAAAGCACCTCCTCAGCCATCCACTTAACGCCAAAATCTTGGCAGCTGCTTAGGGCGTTCTCCAGCATTTTATCTACAAAGGACTTCAACTTGAACAAAGCTGGTGAAATAATACACCCTTCATGAACATCATTGCTGGTTTCAAAAGATCTGTTTAGTTTACTGTAGACCTTGACTACACCAGAGATATGCGATTATAGTGATGTCCAGAAGTATACATACTCCTGTAGTATTCTTTTTCGAAGAAGCCAACCCGACAGGGCTTTGTGGTCAACTGAATCGGAGGGTTCTTTTAAGTCAAAGAAAACGGTGCTCATTGGTGAACGATGTGCGTGGTGTAAATCAAGGACTTGACGGAACGTGAATAATTGTTTGAGACAACTGCGATACGGTCGGGATTCAGTCTGCTGCCTGCAGATTTTCGTCTCTCTAAAGTATCGAACGGTGAACTATGACAGAGGCTGCTGGTGAATTCGCTTCATATCAACAGGACGTTTATGCTTCATTCAATAGGTTACGATATCCGCGACTTCGATTTATAAATGTAATAATGACGAATGGATGCGATAGAAATGACGGCATCTGTGCTGTTCGGTGAAAACCTTGGTACCCAATTTGATTGAATTTCTTTGACAGGTTAGTTGATTCCTCACCTATTTGTTCGCCAGAAAAAACTTATTCAGGATTGATAGTCGGTTGTTTCCTGTAGCTTGGAGCAATGGGACTGAACAGTCCTAATCCGTTCATCTAAAAGACACGCTTGGATATTTGGCATGTGACCATCATTCTGTGTAGTTTTCTAAGCACGGCATGAGTACGAAACCGAAACACATAGAAAAGGGCATTAGTTTGTTCTTCTTTAGAATTTACTATATACATTACGATATCTAGTGTTCTGATTAACCTAGCCAGTGTTAGTACTAGGTAAAAAGATCGACTGTAAGGAGGATTTGATAGAATTAGCACTACTGTTTCGGTAGACTACTGTGCTCACGAAGACATTTTCTATCCCCTCGGGTTTCGTGATTTACTCAACTCTCATCCGTAGCTCTGAGGCAACGCACAAATCAGCCATCACAGCTCCTAGGGGGTCACCGATATTTATGCCCTAACACACTGCTACCTCGCGGTTCGCACTTAATTATGCGAGACTCAGAGGCGCGTCTCTGAGATCACAACTCGATGACAGTGAGGAATCTCGTGTGCCGAATACCCACGAAACTTCGTCGTTAACAAAACTGAACGAAATTCATGAAACGATCAAGTATGTGGTGGTGATGCTTATTTTATTTTCACGCACGTCAGAGTTTAGATTGTGTGCTAAACAAATCACGGTGGTGCTACTAATGGTGATTTGAGCGCAGAGTTTATTTAACTTCCGGATGATTTTTTCCAAAGTTAAATAACATCAATGTAATTTCAATTACAGTTACATGTAGTAATGAACACTTATCCCTTTAAGAGAGAAAAGTTATTCTGAAAAAGTTTATTTTTGGTGACGACATTTCGACCCTCTTGGAAGGCCTTTATCAAATCAATTAACAAGCGAACATGTGAGTCAACTGTGAGACAACCGTATAGAAAAAAAGTTTTCCTTCACGGATCTAATACTATGAGCATGACGCACAATTACTTCAATAACATCCGTTCCAAATTTGGATCTGATATTGTTAATCTGAAAAAGCCTCTTATTGTTGGTCTTTATGACCGAACAGTCAGTCCTTAACTCTTTGGTGGTAGGCAGCTTTGCTGCCGTCCGGTTCAACCTAGCGGGGCCTTATGTGGTTCGCCACTCCAGGTGTCGGGGATTAGGTTACCCGTTTCCATCACTGAACAGTAGGTCCTCGTGACTATAGGGCTTTCCCCGTCTGCAGTTCATCGCACGAAAGTTTATTCCTTAGAATGGTGTCCGTCAACAAATGGATTACTTCCATAATAATATACGAGTTATATGATAAAATAATAATAAAAGCGTACTCATTTTTTCCAGAAGTTCCCACTCGTCCTGCAAGAATGCTCCGTAGTGACCGCGCTTGGCGATTCCTTGAGGACACCCCAAGTTCAAGTCAATCGCATCACAATAGGGTTCAACAATCTTTGCAGCTTCAACAAACATTTCAGGTGAATTGGCACAAAACTGAAATGATGGGAAGCGACGGTGTTTGGGGAGTAAAGAGCTTTTACTTGAGCTACTAAAGGTCGATCCTCTTTGGCAAACTGTAGACAAGACTGTCGATATTTTCTGTCTTTCAAGAACATTGCTGAATGTATCATCGGAGTATACGTCAGATGTACATCATATTTTCGGCCCAACATTCGCCACGCGAGCTCACTTCCGTCAACCATGGGAGCCAGAACGTGTTTTGGGTTGCCCAAGGAAGATATCAGATCTTCGCGTTTAGACATTTTCCGAGGAAATGTCGATGTTCGAAATAACGATCTGAAGTAATAGATATAAAACCACGGTTAATATTGATTTCAAACTTCGGTTCTGGTTGTTGGAGTTGATTAGAGTAGACAGAAAACAACAACCCAAAGGGGGACATCAAAAGTACATTTCATTATACAGAATAACTAATATGGATCTTTATTTCACCGAAAATTTCGAACAAAGGCTTTCAACCAGAAAATAAAGGTAAACTCCTTAGCCATGAGGACTCATCTGTCACGTTGGTACTCAATTACTCATGCATAAAATTTAGTAGCAATAGGTGTAATAGATCAAAAATCAATGCGATAATGTGAAAGCTTGAGTGAGCGTTCAAGGGATCAAATGTGTCGTTGCTTTAGATACAGAGTAACGGTTCTGCGAAGATCTCGCTGGACAACCAAGACCTTCCATATTTCGTTTTTGCAGTCGATCTACTTACGACTGGAGTACTGGATTTGTCATTCAAGTGAAGACCCGTGATTTTGCGTGGTCGATCAACCAATGTGGTGGCCGTATCGTAGGCTTTTATCGATTGATAAACACAGAGGTAGAAAACAGTGAACATTCATCATCATCCTCATCGTACAGCGAAATACAGTGAAGCGAACTTCCCTGATCGCTGCCAAAC